AGTGGCCAAGACTAGTCAGAAAAAAAAGTTACATTAAGGTTGATAATAATGTGAAATGTTGCTACTCCTGTATGATTGAAATTAAAAGAACATCTAAAAAAAAAAAAAAAAAAAAGAACATCTCCACTTAAGTAGACCTTTAATGCCCCAAATCAATATAAGCAGCTACCTTAATCTATGTATAAATCCAGATTTGCTTCTAGAGGTTCAGGAAACTCCCAATTCTGTATTTGTGACATCACAAAACTTTGAGATATTGAAGATCTGTAGTATGCTGCTCATTCTACTCCTTTAAAGTCATGCCAAGGAAGAACCTCTTTACCCTATAAGCTCAGGACCATAGTCAAAGTCGAATATGGTCAGATATTGGTGAACATCAAGGTAATTCTAGATCAGGATTTCTCAACCTTTAGAATATTGATACTTTAGAGCCAGTCAGGGTGATGCATATTTGTAATTCCAGAGACTTGTGAGACTGGGGCAGGAGGATCACAAGTTTGAGGCCAATCTGGACAATTTATTGAGATGCTGTTCTCAAAAAATAAAAAAAGTCTGGGGAATATGGCTAGTGATTAAGCTCCCCTTGGTTCAATTCCCAATACCAAAATAGTAACAGTAGTAATAATAATAATAATAATAATGCTGACGATGTAGCTCAGTGGTAGAGTGCTTCTGGTTTCAATCCCAGTACTGCAAATATATATGTATATATTATATAATATATACATATATATAAATATATATATTTCTTTATATATATATATATTTCTTTATATATATATAAATATATATATATTTCTTTATATATATATATACAGAAAGAAAAGAAGGAAAAAAAAGAATTTTAACATTTTGGAGCAGATAATTCTTTATTGTTAAGGGCTATCATATGCATTATAAGATGTTTAGCATCTTGGACACTACATGCTAGTAATACTCTACCATTCTTCATCGTCAAAATAATTAAAAAAACATCTCCAGACTTTGACAAATGTCCACTGGAAGACAAAACTGTCCCTGACTGAGAATCATGATATTATACCCATGACCCTCTCAATCCTCAGTGAACTCAGTCATATACTTCCTTCACCTCTGCCCTCAAAGTGATTACTGTTTTGGAAAGCTACAGAGAACAGAAACTGGTGAGTTCATTTCTAACCATCTCAAAAAGTCCCTCTACACTGCTTATTAATCCTTACTACTTTTCCAAAGCTTCTCAACTTCCTTGAAACTCCCAATACTACTTCCCTTTTTGTCAGATGACTTTGTCTCCTACTTTACAAAGAAAATAAGTCCTCAAATGAAAACTTATTTAATTACTGTTATTAAAAATACAAACACTTCCTTTCATTATAATTGAGGTTATTTCCTTTCTCTCTCCCTTTCTAAGACTATTCCTCCCACCAGTGCTTTGAATTGCCTCCCTCCCCCGGCCCCTCTCTCTCTTTTTGTTGTTGTTGTTGGTAGTGATGGTGGTGGTGCTGTACCACTGAGTTACATCTCCAGCCCTTTTATTTTTAATTTTTGGTACTGAGGATTGAACCCAGGGTTATTTTACCACTGAGCCATATCCCCAGCCCTTTTTATTTTTAATTTGAGACAGGGTCTTACTAAGTTGTTTAGGGTCTGGCTAAATTGCTGAGACTGATCTCAAACTTGTGATCCTCCTGCCTCAGCCTCTGAAGTCACTGGGAGTATAAGATGAGCCCTCATGTTTGGTTGTTAGTTTTTTTTTTGAGACAGAATCTTTTGTTAAGCCACTGAGTCTGGCCTCAAACTTGTGATCTTCCTGCCTCAGCCTCCAGAGTAGCAGGTATTACAGATGTATGCCACCAATGCTTAGCAAACTGCCTCTACCCTTACCTCTCAAAATCCTTAGCTTCTTTCTTTCTTTCAATCAACTTTTTCTCAGATGGATCTTCTCTATCAAGCTCAAGTTTCTCTTGTATTAATTTTAACATAAAACCCAACAGCAAAAACAAATGAAAACCTTGACCCTTTATTATCCTCTCTCCCTCCTCTTGGCAAGGCGAAAGTTTCCAAAAGCATTGTACAACTTGTCCTCATTTCTGCATTTCTCTGAACTACTGCAATCTATATTTCAGCCCCATCATTCCCCTAAACAGTGTCACTAAGATTGCCAATGATCTCTGTTACTAAATTCAAGACATTTCTTCAGGGCTGGAGATATAGCTCAATTGGTAGAGTGGCTTACCTTGCATGCACAAGGCACTGGGTTAAATCCCTGGCTCCACAAAAAAAAAAAAAAAAGAAAAGAAAAGAAACATTTTTTTTCAGGCTTCATCTTCTTTAATCTCTTAGGAATAGAGTACTACTTCTTTGAAAAACTTTCCCCTCTTTTTTTCCAGCATTTTGTCTTTTTCTTAGAGTTGTGTGGAAGAGTTCCTGGAGCGGTGGTTATAAAACAGTCATCTACTTGCTTAAAATCCATTAATAGCTATCAGTAACCGCAAAACGAAAGCTAGGCTCAGTAGTCCAAAATTCTAAGACCTTCCAAGGTCTGGCCATGTCAGGTTTGGGAAGGGAGGTTAGTTGTGTCTGCCCCCTCCTTCTGGGGATTGAATCCAGGGCCTCACATAAGCTAAACAAGCGCTTTACGACTGTTATATCCCCATCATCACCCCACCTCCAGCTCCCACTTTTCTTTTTCCTTCTTCTACTTTGTTTTTGCTTTTGAGGCAGGGTCTCCCTTTGTTACCCGGGCTGACCTGGAACTTCTATGCTTAAGCCATCCTCCAGTCTCAGCTGCCCAAGTTGCTGAGCCACCATGCCCTGCTTGTTGCCAGCCTTTTGTAGCTTATTTTTCCCTACACTCAGGGATACAGGATGAGCTCTAAGCCTCTAACAAGGATGAAATACAAGGCATTTCCTGAAGGCGCTATGTTGTTCTTGGCATACCCTGTTTCCATAGCTTGGAAAACTAGCTCCTTCCCTCCTGGACTTCCGGGGGAACTCCCATTTATCTTTTAAGACTCGCAAGGTCACTTCCTTCGGTAACCCTTTTAGACACCCCCTAAGAATAAAATGTTTTGTTTATTGTAAGTCAAAGGCGCCTCAGATTTTATATGTGCCATGCATCGTACTGTAGCCACTATAATTTGTTAACCTATGTATCTCCCAGTCTCGACAGATCAAAGGAATTCTAGTCACTTTTTTTCCCCCTCAGTGTTCATCCCGCAGTCTCTGGCACACGGATGCTTTTGGCAAATGTTGCACGAACGCCTCCCACCTGCGGGCGAGACGGGAATCTATCCGGTTAACGGGTGAATTTCCCCAGCTCTCAGCCTGCGTGGCACGGAGATTTAAACCTACCGCACAGTGATTGGCTCTAGCTGTAGGGTGTGTCTGCGGTCAGGGAGCCCGAGAAGTGCGCAGGCGCGTGGCTTGGGGGCACGCAGGCGCGACAAGGGCGCTGCTCCTGGTCCGGTCTGGTGGTGTCCGAGCTGCCGCGGCCGGAGAGGAGTGGCCCGGAACTGCTTGGTGAGTCTCCAGGAATGGAGCTGAGGTAGCTAGCCGGGAGGAAGGTTGGGATCATATCTTGAAGATAAAGAGAATATCGTGACGGTTGGAAAGTTAGTGGGGTCGGACTTAAGGGGAGGAGGGGGCCCTCCGGCCCAGGCTTGGCCGATTGGGCCCGGAACGAGGCGAGGCACAAGAAGAAGTTCGAGGGGCCGGCGGAAGAAGGATGACCTGATCCTTGTATTCGTCTTCGAAACCACACAGATCAACTCTCAGTCCCTCACCGTATTGATGTGGTCGGGATTAATAGACTGCGTGGTGACCACTGTAGTCAAGTAGTTGTAAGATAACTGTTTGAAGGACTCCGAGGTTCATGGCTTTGGATAGCCCTTGCCTGTCGAGTAGAGTTCGTCCTTATCTTGCGGTTTTTCCGCAGAGACACAAACAAAAGGATCAGTGAAAGAAGGTAGTAGGGGGTTAGAAACTACTGTAAAATGCAGTTTCACCCCGTCCTTTGTTTCCTCTTTAATCATTAGTCATTACAATATGAGGAAAGACAGCTGATGATTGAGGAAACCGAAAGATATCAAAGTTGGGAAAAGTGGACGAGAAAGGAGTGTCATTTTACCTTTTGCTGTTTTTCATCTGCCAAGATGGGAAACCGTGGCTGGAGAGGGGA